TCTTCTTCAAAATAATTTGATCCTAATGTATACTCAAACATCACACGTTTGTGATGTCTTTTTACTAAGAGACTACTTAAAACCTACAGTAAGTCACTAGTATTTATTATAGCCATTTACCTGTGGTTTCACTAGCAAACACAATGACTGCATCTGATCTAGTTTCCTACACTGTAGGAAAACATCTAAACTGTTAAGACAAAACACTGGTCGTTCTTTTAACAATACCTGAAGATGGTAGATTTAAAAGTAATTCTTTTAAATTTCTTTGTGTTAATTACCCTAATAACATCTTAAATTTCTGTGGTTAATTACCTATACAGTTGAGGGGTTCTTTACAGCTAACCTAGCTCTACCACTAGATTTAATTCCATGTCCTCTCTTTCAGTCCCTGAAGGTTGTTATAGTTAAACAGACAATTAGCTACATTGAAATTCAGATTACTAGAAGATGAGAATCTATATTTAATGGGGATAAAGGGAGGAAGAATAAAGAAAAGGTCAGGAATATTATTTTCTCCTTTGTTCAAATGAAACCAGTTTCACAATACCAATTTCCTTGACAACTGTGTTCTTTTAAGATTTTATTTATTTATTTAGAGAGCATGTATGAGAGCCCACAAGTGGGGGGAGGGGCAGAGGGAGAGAAAGAGAGAAAATCTCAGACTCCCCACTGAGCACATAGGCCCTTATGGGGAGCCCTAAGTGGCCAATCTCAGGACCGTGAGATCATGACATGAGTCGAAATCAAGTTGGGTCACTTAACTGACTGAGCCACCTACGCGCCCCAGACAATTGTAATTCTTTTTAAGAATGTTAATACAAGTTCTTGGGGCATCTGGGTGGCTCAATCAATTAAGCATCCGATCTTGATTTCGACTCAGGTCATGATCTCAGGGTTGTGAGGGGGAGCCTGCTTAAGATTCTCTCACCACCCCCCAATCCCCCTGCCCGCTCTGTCTTTAAAAAAAAAAAAAAAAAAAAAGCTTATGCAAGTTCAACAAAAAGTGACTTGATCAGTAAACAAAAACAGTATGTATGATGCTTAATGGTTTAGCTTCATAATAGGCTAGAAATGCAATTTATAATCCAATTGTTATCTACCTTCCTAATATCATTCCACTGAATTCAATGGAAAAGTAAGTAGTCCCAAACTGTAATTAAAAGCAGTTGAGGGCGCCTGGGTGGCTCAGTCGGTTAAGCGACTGCCTTCGGCTCAGGTCATGATCCTGGAGTCCCGGGATCGAGTCCCGCATCGGGCTCCCTGCTCGGCGGGGAGTCTGCTTCTGCCTCTGACCCTCCCCCCTCTCATGTGCTCTCTCTCTCTCTCAAGTAAATAAATGAAATCTTAAAAAAAAAAAAAAAAAAAGCAGTTGAGAGACTTATCTGCTTGATTTTTCTACTTGTTTTTCTAAAGGGAGGGGAGGTAGCAGGGAAGCTCCTATGAAAAAAGGTTTGAGGGAGAGCATTTATCTGTCCTGGATAAAATCAGTTTTGTACAACTATCCTTCAAGAGTAACTCAAAAGAGCATATACTATTTCTAGTACCACTCCACTAATAAAACACAATTTGAATTTAGTTCCCCTTCTAAATGGGTCAGCCCACAGAAAAACACTACTGCTCAATTACGTTATGTAAATAACAAGCAGAATCTACTCGATTCATGAAAATCTCCAGTATGAAAAGTTGCATCTTCTATTAATAACAGCCCATTAAGAGAGCTTCTTTCATGAAGAGAAATAAAGATACTTCCAGTATCTTACATGGCTCATTGAACACATTCATTTACCTCTACGTCTTTGTGAAACACCTTCCATATAGACAGCAAAAGAGCACAAAGAGAATGGTACAAGTGAATGCAAAATACTGGCACAAAATTTGGGGAGCTAACAAGCAAAGGCAAAAATAGTAACTACCTTAGTAGATAAAGGCTAAGGGGAAGAAACCAAGATGCAAACTGAATCAAACCCACAGAATCCCAGAAAGGCACAGAAGTGAAGACACTGGTAGATCTCTGAAGGTGGATGCATGGTGTAACAAAAAACAAAAAGAATGAAAGTTCAAATGAGTAAGTCAGACTCCTAGACCCACTTCTCTATCCTGTAGACAGGCTCTTTATATTACTGATCCAGATCAGTAGAAAACTTAGAAGTTCACTTTGAATTGGATGAAACAGGAATTCTGCACTTAAGAGATACCAATCTCTGACATAGATAATTAAATGACAAAAGAGATAATCATAACGCTGAAGAAAACAAAAAGATATAGAGGAAATGGAATATAATTCTAATACACTATATGGCTCGGCTACAAATAATATTTATATAATCATAATATATACAACAGATATTGTTTTTACCAACTCTTATAACCTTACTGGCAAGATAAGAAATGAAGGGAGAAGAGTGTATACAAGTGGTTGGCATGGGGGGAGGAGTGTAAAATAGTTAAATCATCAAACAAAGTCAAGAGATTAGGGGCACCTGGGTGGCTCAGTGTGTTAAGCGTCTGACTCTTGATTTCAGCTCAGGTCATGATCTCAGAGTCATGGGATTGAGCCCACATTGGGCTCCACACACTTGGCACAGAGTCTGCTTGAGATCCTCTCTCTCCCTATCCCTCTCCCCCTGTTTGCACTCTCTCTCTAATAAATAAAATCTTAAAAAAAAAGTCAATAGATTAATACTGAATAACTGAAATAACTGAAAACTCAAGAATCAGCATGTTATTTGCTTTTAAATTTTTAAATAGGTAAACTAAAAGTTAAAAGAATTAAAAGGGAATGCCTCTGAGGAGCACATCTAGTATTTGGTGCTCAGATGGCAGCTTTTAATCATTTTAGATCTCAGTTATCTGCTTGACTTCTTAAAACTGTATTAATGTGGGGGGGGTGCCTGGGTGGCTCAGTTGTTAAGTGTCTGCCTTCAGCTCAGGTCATGATCCTAGTGTCCTGGGATCGAGCCCCACATCGGGCTCTCTGCTCAGCGGAAAGCCTGCTTCTCCCTCTCCCACTCCTCCTGCTTGTGCTCCCTCTCTCGCTGTGTCTATGTCAAATAAATAAATAAAATCTTTAAAAAAACAAAAAAAAATTAAAAACTGTATTAATGTATATGCTGAACACTGCTGATTACCAACCTGACATTTATTTCCCCTTCTTCTAATTGCCTACTTCATGTCTCTTCTCCATTTCTTCTCACTAACCAGAAGCCTTATTTTGTTCAGAGTGGCAATGCTCCCATATAAAAAATATTTGTTTCTCTCAGTATAGCCAATGATAAGTCAGCTAAAGTTTCCAGGAAAGAACCTATTTTCTGATACAAGGGTCACCCCTTCTTGCTTTCTCCCTTCCTCTTCCTGCCTGAATTCACTGAGTGAAATCCGTAAGGGCAACACTCACAGAGACCATGTGGATGAAAGCTAAAGGCTAAAGATGACATCACAGAAAACTCCAGGGTACCAGAGTCCTTGATGACATCATTGAACAGACACACCAGTATTGGACTACCTACCTCCAGACTCCTTGCTACCTAGAAAAATCAATTCCTACATAAGCCAAGTAGTTAGGTGTTCTGTCTTTTGCAACTGAATTCATTCCTAACTTGTACAATTTTTTTGTTGACAGTAAAGGTTTATGTTCATTTTCAAAGAGGAAGAAAAAGAGCCTTGATTTGTTCAGGCTTATCTACTCATCCATTCTACTAAAACTAAAAAGAGAAGTTTGAAAAGACTCCAGAGTGGCACGCTGAAAACAATGTGTACATAAGACAAAAAGGATGGGGGCGCCTGGGTGGCTCAACATCTGCCTTTGGCTCAGGTCATGATCCCAGAGTCCTGGGATCGAACCCCGCAGCAGGCTCCCTGCTCAGCCGGGAGTCTGCTTCTCCCTCTCCTTCTGCCCCTCCCCCCCCCACACACACTCATGGCTATCTCAAATAAATAAAATCTTTTTTAAAAAATACGAAAAAAAAAAAGACATAAAAGACAGCATCTCAACAATGATACAACATAACCAAATGTTTCCTTCATATCCTCACATCTTTCAGGGAAAACTAAAAAATTTCTTTTTCTCTCACATCCCATCTTACGGTTTCATCTTTCTTGAAGCCTCACTAATTTAACCAAGTGCTTAGGACCAAATCTTCTAAGAGATCGTATCTTATATCATATTTAAACCAAAGAGAACTGGGGAGCCTGGTGGCTCAGTTGGTTGAGCATCCAACTCTTGATTTCGGCTTGGATCATGATCTCAGGGTCGTGGGACAGAGCCCCGAGTTGGGCTCTGCTTTTGGCAGGGAGTCTGCCTGGGATTCTCTCTCTCCTTCTCCTTCTGCCCCTCCCCCCTTCTCATGCATTCTCTCCCCCCCAAAATAAGTAAATAAAAATCTAAAAATAAATAAATACTGTAGCAATCTAAAGCTTTTAACTACACAGGAAAAGAAGTTATCTTAAAGTCTTCTGTGTCTCTATCTGCAACTACTCTACAAATTAGTGTCATAAATTTGCTTAATTCAAAGTTCAAGAAAATTACACTCTAAGAGTAAACATGTCTTATATAGAAAAACACAAATTTAAATTACTTTAAAGCAAAATTAGAGGTTTGGGAATGAGAAGCGTTAACTCAATCCAAAACACAACTATAGATCACTATCTTTAATAAGTATTAACATTACTTAATTTTAACAGAGTATTGTAGATATATTTGCACTACTATTAAAAAGATATACTTCATTGCTTAAGCCTCTGCTTTCACCCCACATTTTTCTATCGCCCCAAATAAAAATTTAGGTCACTAGACATCCAGCCTATTCCCACTTCAAGAAAATTCTTAAAATGCATAAAAGAAAGGGTGAAGTGGTCAAAGAAAACTGAATACTTATAGTACTTTGCTGAACTTAACTTCCTGCATATGTAAGACAGCTTGTTTCAGTCCACATTTTCTGTAAAGCTATAAAAATTAACAAACCTAAAGAAATGCTAAGAGTTTATATGAGATAGCTTACCTTTTATTTATAGGTTTTTCATCTTTTTCATAAGGCTTTACAAACCATTTGCCAATGCGTACAAAGTTCCGGTTCATTAAACACCGTTCCAACAGATTGTGAACTGCTTTAAACAGCAGAGTACGACATTCATAGGAAAGTCCATTCTCCCACACTCCATCTTCCTCTTCTACAAGAGAAATGAAAGAAACAAAAAGTAAAGTAGTGGCACTATATCTACTCAGAGCCAAGTAAAAAGTGTTAACGGTTTAAATTCATAAACACTACTACACCTACTACATAAACCCAACTAAACCTCAGAATATTGAGCTACCACCACTTCAATATATCTAAACATTAAAATATCAGGTTTCAAAGTTACTCCATAAGGAGTAAAATGCGCAAGTGTCATGTATTCCATTAAAGTACCTGAAAATTAGTTTCCCACTGCATAAAAAGTCAATGATATATTGCAAACATACTGATTTGGTTTCTGTATCAATGCAAAGAACATTTGTATGAGCTGGGAAACATTAAAGACACGCTACACCTAAGATGCCAATTTCTAAGCTGGCTCACTTGTTACTTTGTCCTAATTCCTCCAGTCATTCAGCCTGCCAAAAAAACTAGCCAGTTAATAATTAACTCAAAAAATGTTATGTCCATCAGCATTCTAATCCATGACTCAACTATAAAAATAAGTGATGAATAAAAAGGAAGCTTTTGGCACAGAGCCTAACAAGCGATGCATTGTGCCACCTTCGATCTCATTTCAACCAAATGATTCCCATTACTCTTCAATATAGGATCCTCTACTTGAGGAAGAAATTTTAAAATATAAAGACTTAAATTTTTTTAAAAAGATTTTATTTATTTATTTGACAGAGATAGAGTGAGAGAGCACAAGCAGGTGGAGAAGCAGAGGGAAAGGGAAAAGCAGGCTCCCCGCTGAGCAGGGAGCCCAACACGGGGCTCTATCCCAGGACCCCGGGATCATGACCTGAGTGGAAGGCAGACGTTTAACGACTGAGCCACCCAGGTGCCCCAGAAGTTCAATTTAAAATTTAAGTCTTTAGGGGTGTCTGGGTGGCTCAGTCGGTTAAGCATCTGCCTTCCGCTCAGGTCATGATCCCGGGGTCCTGGGATGGAGTCCAGCACTGGGCTCCCTGCTCAGTGGAAAGTCGGCTTCTCCCTCTGTCCCTCCCCCCACTCGTATTCTCTCTCTCTTTCAAATCAATAAATAAAATCTTAAAAAAATAAATAGAACGTCTAATACAAAGTTATAACTACCCTACTAACTATACGGCCTCAATTTTGCCACCCCATCTATTAACCACTTTAAGTTAACTTACCAAAAAAATGTTAACATAGTTATTTCTAGATAAGTCTAGAAGTAGTTAAAAAAAGTTTATTCTCTATCCATTTCATATCTTTAACAAAGCATCCAATGAATTCTGCTACAAATGATACTTAGGCTTTTAACTTATTATTTCAAATATAATTTAGTATCATTCCATAGCCTGTATACTTTTTATGAACATTTTATAAATATGGGTCGTCTTTCAATATAAGTAAAAAATAAATGATAAAACCTTAATTCAACACTAAAAATGTCTACACTATACCCATAGAATAATAATAAACTATGATGCTTTTGAATAAAAGCAGAAGCATGTATTAAGATTATATTCATAATCTACACAACAAATGGACAGACTAAACATTAACTAAAAAGCATGACAGTGGACTTTAACTGCACTAGAAATTTGTGGCACTACAAAGGTTAATGTTGATATTATGTTGTTCTTTAAAGTGTTTCCTAAATTAGTCAAGTCTTTCAAGCCAACTAATTATTTTTCCAAAAAGGCAGGCTTTAAAAAAAAAAAAAAATGATGTAAGCTTTAAAAAAATGACTTGAGAGTTGGAATAATTTTAAATCATTAATATTAAGCATTAATTTTAAAGGAAAAGAGGTTTTACATTCTATTATATTGCAGACCACCTTATATATGTCTATATAAGCCAAAACTTCACAAGTTTCACTTTATTAAAGAAAACAGGGCGCCTGGGTGGCTCAGTTGGTTAAGCGACTGCCTTCGGCTCAGGTCATGATCCCGGAGTCCTGGGATCGAGTCTTTAGTCCTGGGACTCCACATCGGGCTCCCGGCTCAGCAGGGAGCCTGCTTCTCCCTCTGACCCTATCCCCTCTCATGCTGTTTCTCTCTCTCGCTCTCTCAAATAAATAAATAAAATCTTTAAAAAAAAAAATCATTAAAAAAAGAAAACAGTAGTCTAGGAGAAAAGGGAAATGGCACACAGTGATTTCACTTTCATTATTTAAGGGTCTAGATCACAAGTACATTTGTGAGTTGCTGAGAGAAAAAAAATAAATCTTAATCAATCTGCTTTCAGCCTAATCATAGTCATTTCAAAATTAGTCACATTAAGAGTTTTACCTCAAATTGTGATCTATGATTACTAAAAATATGCATGTTTTTAATTTCCAGTTATGCTGGGAATATCTCCCAGTTCTTCACTTCTTTGTAATCTATTTAGTATACTTTATTTTTATTTCCTTCTCAAAAATCCTTACCTTCTGAGAAGCACAATGGTTGTAACATTTGTCCTATACAACAAACGTTTACCAAAATCTTTTTAGCTAGTTTTAAGTTTTAAAGCCACAAGATCCAAGACATAGAGTTGTTACATTACATATCAAAGTTGCTCAGTCTCTATAAACTTTAATTATCAGAAAATTATTCACTTAAAACTTGAGAATGAATTGGTCTTCTTCCCACAAAGAGTAAATAAAAAAGTCTTTGGAATAGTAAAAGCCTCTAATACAATAATTTGCATACATTTTTTACATAAAATTCTGAAGATTTTTATTTTAAAAATCTATCTCAGTTAAACCTGAAGTTAAATGATTTAAGAATACTAAATATAGTTTAAAAATTTCATCAGTACTAATTTTCAAGCATTTCTCCCTCATTGCTCTAAAGTTTATCTAGGGAAACTCTAGTTCTAGGGAACTTAATGCTTTTATCTAGAGAAATTTAGGTGAACTTAATCCTCATTTTACATTATATCCTCAAACGCCCACAATTTTCATTAACACTAAATGGGAGTTATGCATAAAACAAAAAAGAAAGGACACCTGTAAGGATTTTCTAAGCCAACAAATATCAAGTATATCTTCACCTATATAGCAAGTAACTAAGCAACTATTATACTAAAGCAACAATTTCATTTTTCACTGCTGAGGAAATAAGTCCTAATAACACTCAATGAAAAGTCTGAAGATTTGTTGTTGTTGTTTTTGGTGTGTGTGGGGGCGGGGGGGTCACCCAGAAATAAGAGTCTACTCAGCCAATCTTCTAATAGCCTGTTATAATAACCATAGCAAAAGTACTTCTCTACATGTGTATTCAGATATGAAAAGTGAAATGGTACAACCAACCCACCCAAGATAGTGATATGCACCTCTTACACTAATTAAAACCAGTCCCTGAATCTCAACACCAGTATCATAATAGAGAAGGGAGGTAGAAGGGAACATATAGCAAATCTTTACCTAGCTCTTTTGAATTTAATCAACCATAGCCTAATGGAAAAAGTCTGCTTAATGCATTTAAATAAATGTTTTTCTCCTCTTGTATCTGTATCCCCAGAGAAAATAGGTTCAAATTTTGTTTATAGTAATTTTCCATTAGAACTTTTTCTTTTTTTTTTTTTTAAAGATTTTATTTATTTATTTGAGACAGAGAGAATGAGATACAGAGAGCATGAGAGGGAGGAGGGTCAGAGGGAGAAGCAGACTCCCTGCCGAGCAGGGAGCCCGATGCGGGACTCGATCCCAGGACTCCGGGATCTGACCTGAGCCGAAGGCAGTCACTTAACCAACTGAGCCACCCAGGCACCCGAACTATTCTTTTTTTAAAAGATTTTATTTATTTATTTGACAGAGAGAGACACAGCGAGAGAGGGAACACAAGCAGGGACAGAGGGAGAGGGAGAAGCAGGCCTCCCAATGAGCAGGGAGCCTGATGCGGGGCTCGATCCAGGGACTCCAGGATCATGACCCGAGCCGAAGGCAGACGCTTAATGACTGAGCCACCCAGGCGCCCCTCCATTAGAACTCTTAGCATTAGAACTCTTCATCATTCCCTGAAAAATTTTTACAAAATATTTGAAAACAATGCAAAAGTTCAAATGCTAAATTTGATTACCATAAAATATTTTCCTGAGGATACAGATTATAGTGATGACAAACTATGTGATAGGTCATCAAAATAATTCCGTCACTAAAGGGGAAAAAAAATGAAAAAGCTGACACACCTAGTACTCGTATTCAACATTTTTCTCAAAACTGACATCTTTAAATATCTCCACAGTAATAAACCAGTAAAAATGGACTCTTTTCCTAAATAATTCTGCCAAGCTTTTAAAACACAACATATACTAATGAATAATGAATGGGTCAAAAATGATAGAAAATGAGAAATGTTTAAATGTCTAATTCAGTGTTTGTCTTAAATAATTGCCCATTCATAGCCATTCATTCAACAAATATTACTCAGAGCCTTAGGCTGGCAGCATCACTGATCTATGGCAAAACCTGAAAAACTCTGGTTTAAAAATCCGCTGAGTATATGTTGATGATTATCTTTGATTTGAAGATTTAAAAGATATATGTTCTTGCTCAAAATGGGCAGTACACAGAAGAAATATGACAAATAAAAGTGTTCCTAGAAGACTAGTCAATACAAAAAGTTCGTCACAAGTAAACTATGGAACAGAAGATAGAAATGAATTAACTCACTTCATGCACACAATTTTTATTTGGCTGACACTAGATTCCTATACTTGGCTGCTATTTATCTGTTTGTCAATCCTGTTAAAGCTGCCACTTAAGGTTAAATTCCACTATAATATCCTTCAATAAAAGAATCTAAAATTAAATTCTAAGAGCAACCAATGGCCCATTTAGTTTGACAGTATTATGATGAAATTCTGGTATAATGAAAGTATTTGGACAAGTTGCTAAAATCCCATATATACACCACAGGAGCCAGAAAAAATAACAAATATTTTTAGCCCTGAGTCTGTTTTTTAGTCTCAAGGTATCAGTTTTCTCAGAGTCTCATCACAGTCTAGCTTGCTATGATTTTTTTTTTTTTTTTAAAGATGCAACCTCAGGAGAGGGAGTAGTTTTTATTTTTATTTTTGTTTTAAGGGAAAGACTAAAAGCCAATAATGACAGCAATAAAATTCCAAAAAGGTTAAAGCACAAAAGAAAAATACCCAGAAAACTCTTCTCCATCAAGGACACACTAATGGTAATAAAACAATCCTGGCTTTGATGCAAACTAATAGTACACTTAAAAGAACCACTCCTACCTATTATATAGAGACTTGTGAGCAGAGGAATTAAGTTAAAATTTTCCCAGAACCGATTTTACACCTCTATCATACAACCACTAAATGAGGTCTGCTACAAATTTTAAGTTAAAAAAATATATATAAATAAATAAAATTTAAAAAGCTGTAATCAGAGAAAAGTTTTGTTCCCTAATCCTTCTTCTATCAAACCATATTAATTCAACTCTCCATTCTCTCAGAGGAAGCAGACCAAAAAGTTAAAAAAAAAAGTTAGTTTTTGACTTTGGGATTCAAGGGATATTTCGAACAAATCTCTTCCTGGAATGTTAAAGTTAGGCAATACTAGTTAGCAAAAATCCTAACCCAAAAATCATTAGGTCTTTGCAAATCACTAAACAGTACTGACTACTACTGCTACAAAACAAGTACTGAGGGTTTAAAGTGTGTATCAAATTAGATTTGTTTTGCTATAACAGATTTTTACCAATTAGCAATAACGTAAGTTTACATTGTTTCTACACCTTGAAAAGAAAATGACCTAAACACATGCTACATGATATTCAGACAGGCAAAATTTAAAATGCACTATAGAACCTGATCAGATTCTTCAGAACTATCAAGACCATCAAAACAAGGCAAGTCTTAGAAAATATCACAATCTGGAACAGCCTAAGGAGACATGACAACTAAATGTAGTATCCTGGATGAGAGCATAGGATAGAAAAAGAACTCTGGGTAAAAATAAAGGAAATCCAAATAAAGTACAGGCTTTAGTTAATACCAGCATATCAATATTGGTTCATTAGTTGTGAAAAATGTACACAATATATGATATTAACAATAAAAGAAGCTGGGTGAGGGTTATACAGGAACTCACTATACGATCTTTGCAAATTCTATGTAAATCTAAAACTATTTTAAAATTAAAAGTTTATTTTTTAAAATACACTATGGATGACACGAAAGAATTAAGGGGGTTGAGCAAAGGCAATTCTGTACTTTTATCACTGGATATTTCAGTTAATAAGAAAAACAGAATTCTAATCTTTGCAAAGTAGAATGCCTTCCCTCTTTCGCTCATCAAGAAGGGAAATAAAACCATAATCACAAACATTTCAGTAACAAGATGAGGTATGTGCTGAACCAAACAGAAGGGCACTGCCTGTGCCTGCAAAAAGCAAGCTCATACTAAATTAACCAGCTTTTTAGTTACCACCTGGGTCCTTCCGGTTCCCTTTTCCTCAGTGCTACACCTCCACTTGGAACTCAGGATTGCCTCCTGCAGCTGATGCCACCCCTACTGTCCAGCTGCTCTCTTCTCAGGGGAGCTTAAAAGAAGGGAATAGAGTGCCACAGATGGGAAGAAATGAAAAAGGGGTTAGCTAGAGAGACAGAGGCAGACTAATTATCCCAAAAGGGAGGCAGACGGTGTCCCTGGAGCAAAGAAAAGGGCGAGACAAATATACTCCATCTGAAAAGACCTTATTATTCTTTAAGATATGTCTGATTTAAGTAACAACATTCTAAAGTAAATGACAAGTTGGGGGGGGAAAAAGGTAAAACATTACATAAATACCACTGACTACACATATTGTTTAAAACAGTACAGAAGAGGCTTTGGAATGGTAATTACAATTATACATACTACTCCTAATATATTTTGCTTTGCTATTTCAACTGCTTTCACTCTGATAAATGTTTTAAAGTTAATTATCATTCAATGGCATTCAGCAAAATCTAACAATTAAAATCTAATCTTCCAAAATTATATTCATTCACATTCAAGATCAATATTTTAAACTACAGGTATTACCATTTTTTTTAAATTATGCAAAAAAGCAAAGTTAAACTACAGAAGCTATTTTTTAAACTGTAGCCCAGTTTTAGGAGAAAACATATTTAACTCATAACAAGAATCTAGAGGGAAAAATCCACATAGTGTTTTAATATACATCAAAACAGCTCACATTTAATTTTAATAGACTTTCAAAATACTAGTCTTATGATGGTAAAACTAAATACTACACATCTGTTAAAATTATCTTTGATTCTACAAAATGTATTACACGAAATCTGGAAGAAAAGTGGTCTGTTCAAATACTCTGCCAACTTTATTTTTTTTTCTTTTTTAAATGTTTTATTATTTATTCATGAAAGTCAGAGAGAAAGAGAGAGGCAGAGGCAGAGGGAGAAGCAGGCTTCCCACTGAGCAGGGAGCCCGATGCGGGGCTCGATCCCAGGACCCTGGGATCATGACCTGAGTCGAAGGCAGACGCTTAACCATCTGAGCCACCCAGGCGCCCCTCTGCCAACTTTATTAATACTGAAATCCCCAAGTCAGCATTATAGTTTATCAACTAGTTTATATAGTTTATAGTTTATCAATAACATTAAAACAGTCTCCAAACATTTTAGTTAAGGTGGTCTTTATGACCACTTAAAAGAATAAAATAACTCCAGCATACCAAAGTGAATGGAAGAAAAAAGCCAGCAAGCTTAATAAAGAAATTTCATATCCTGACATATATATATATCATATACTTGTACATACACATACATATGTAAACACATCACTTTACATATTTAGAACTACAATGCATACTCAGAACTAAGGACTAATATCTCCAGCAGGGATCTTATTAGAAAAGCTAGCAAAGCTAGAAAGCATTTATCATAAAAAAATTGTAATCACTCTCAAAGATTAGCAGTGAAGGGTTTGTTCATTAGAAGGTAAAAGGAACTATCAAAACAAATGTAACACATACATTCCTACAGAAACATTAGTCTTACTAAGAGCTTGTTTAAGACGGTCACCTGGATTACATTACATCCAAAAATAAAATAGGTCTTACAGGTCAAATGGACAGTAATAGAAACTTCAGAGTATTCAATTTCAAATAAGAATGCTTTTTTAAGTTATCAAAAAATCCTTAATTTACCTGTCAAGAATCATTACCAAACATCTTGCTGAAGTCGTTGGTACCTTGCAGCAAATAACTAATCATTTACATTCCTATCACCAAAGATTCAGTTAACGTTGACTCTTAAGAGTCTAAAGGAAACACAAGCTTCAGTGACTACATGAAGAGCTACAGTTTCTCTTTCTAAAGTAACATTTGGTCATAAAAGTCAAGAAATTAAGACAGAAGTAGTCTTATTGATAGGTTCATAATAAAATTATTTTTGTGTAACTTTTCAGAGTATGATTCCATGTCCCATAAAAGCTAAACAAGTTGGGAGCGCCTGGGTGGCTCAGTCGTTAAACGTCTGCCTTCCGCTCGGGTCATGATCCCAGGGTCTTGGGATCAGCCCCGCGTCCGGCTCCCTGCTCAGCGGGAAGCCTGCTTCTCCCTCTCCCACTCCCCCTGCTTGTGTTCCCTCTCTCGCTGTGTCTCTCTCTCTGTCAAATGAATAAATAAAATCTTAAAAAAAAAAAAGCTAAACAAGTTGGCACTAGTCTCATTTTAGTGAGTGTTTGAAGGAACAGTATCTAAAACAAAAGAATCACTCTCCAAGAATAACAAAATTAACATATGCTTTCATATGTTAATGTAACGACAATTAATAACAAAATAAATATATACCTTGGAAAAAAACACATGAGAAAGTTACAGTATTTCTAGATACTCCTACAACTGTCTGCATAATCATAGGGAAGAGAGCAGTGGCAGAATGGACTCAAATGGTGAATTACATGTGCCTGCAAATTACTTTGTTAGCAACTTTATGCTCCCCCATTTCATTTTTTAGGTAACAGGCCTTCCCTGTGCCCTGTCTGCATGAAATTCACAAGGAACCTGGCTGGTGAAAGAACAGTTACTTAAGGCTAAAACCTGACATAATATGGATAATTTAAGTAAAATAAAATAACCACAGTGAAATATAACAGTAAGCTCAATTTTTATCTGGCTTCACACTTAATAGTGTTTCACACACACAAAAAAATCTTAATTTGTAATATAAATGATTTTTAGAAAAAGTATACAATGTTGCTATATATCATTAGTTAGAAATAAGTTGCTTTCACCTGACAAGTCATGGTGAATAAGGTCAGCAAAATTGGGGTCTTCACCCCACCAAAATATCCACAATTCTCTTCTTCCAGGTCTTTGATCTCGCCGCCAAACACCAAGTACATCTGCCTTAAGGCAGCGACTAAAACTGCTCAAAATGGGGTCTTCCTCTGTCACCGGAAACAGAATAGGGGCAGAAGTTGGGCCTTGCCATACATATCTTTTCCATTTAATTCCCGTCAAGTCAGCCTAAAGAAAAGAAAGCATGATTATTACTGCATATTCATTCAAAGTCAATAGTAACTCTTTTTTTTAATTAAAGATTTTATTTATTTGACAGAGAGAGAGAGACGGTGAGAGAGGGAACACAAGCGGGGGAGTGGGAGAAGCAGGCTTCCCATGGAGCAAGGATGCAGGGCTCCATCCTACGACCCTGGGATCATGACCTGAGCCAAAGGCAGACGCCTAAAGACTGAGCCACCCAGGCGCCCCAATAGTACTCTCTCTTAAAGCCCCTTATTTCACTGAGACATTACAATTTTTCAATATATATTAAGATGTTAAAGCAGATTGACCAAAAAAATGATTCTTTGATCATTCAACCAAAAATTTAAGGAAAGGAACAAAAACAGCTAAAATACTAACACTGACATGTCACTGAATAGCAATAAATGTGTCCCAAAGAAAAATAAAAGAAACTTAACAATGTTAAATATAAACATGTACTTTAATACTGCACACGTAGTTTTGTTCCAACTGGTCACGTTTACTCCCTGGTGTCACACTTGTAACAGAAAATTAATTTTTAAAGACTCATCATTTCATGTTTATAGAAGTGATGGCTCTAATGAAATGTGAACTATACTGAAAAAATTGTTAGTTCTTCACATATTCCTTTTAGGAAAAGTGAAATAGGTGCTCACAAAGAACTGTCAGATTTGTACTAGTCTATTTTCAAAGAACCTGATCCTAAAAGTACCAAAAATAGAGTCAGAGAAGACAGAAATGTAAAACCTGCTGTTATGTTTTACTGCATCTGAAGAGATGCTGATTAATGGACATTGTACAAGAAAACATTTTACAAGAGAGAAGGGCATTAAAAATCCCAATTTGGCACAGTGAAAGAAATTCAACAGAGGAAATTCAGTAATTCTTTAACTTAAGAGGTGCAAAGCATAAGGTGCCAAAAATGAAACTGCTGATACATGACTGGCAGTTTACACTTGCCAACTAGTTGTGCTCCGCCCACTCAGTTCACTTACCTATCACATACTCTCTTAATATTTCTCCTAGCACACAAAAAATAAAGTCACCGAAACTTTACATCATGGATGAAGCTAAGCTACTGTCCAATTGAGGACTAAATATCTGCAACAGTTGGTAGTTTTCAAAGTCTTAACTGTGGATGTTCCCAGAACTGGGCCAACCTATACAATTTTGTCATTCCTGCATCCAGCTTCCCTAGACTTTTCAATAAACCGAGGAGCAGCCTGCCCAAGCATTCTAAAAATGCAAGGAAAACAAATACGAAAAAAAAAAAAAAAATTAGTGCAAAACCATAGAACCTCCTCCATTAGTCCGTTTCACTCTCACACAAACATGTTCTAATAAAAGCAAGATGGCTAGAAACTGTCAAAATGGCAAACTGTTTTCAAAGTTTAAAGAGAAAACATATGAAATGGTATCTACTGGTTTTTAGAGAGATCTGAACTTATCGAAGGGAGAAACTAATCTTCTGTTAGCTTGACTCATTAGAAAATGTAAAAGGAAGCGAGACTTTTAGTACCTCAGTTCCGGTGTCCTGTTTATTGGGGGAAACCAAATTAACAGAGTGAGGAATAAAGACACTGGGAGAATGGCAATAATGGAAAGTGTTAAGGAGGGATACAGGGCCAACAAGGAGAAAAGCAAGAGTTAAGCAAGAAACACAGAGGGAAAGGCGAGTGTCCTGCCAGATAAGGAGCAGAAGTTGAAGACAAGACTACGGTGAGCAAGAGTCGGAAACAAGGGAAAAAAAAGCCAGCACTCCTACACCAGCGCCTAGGATGGTGGGTGAGCGAACGTGTTCCCCGGGTCGGTGCGGAGCTCCGCCGCCGCGTCGGCTCCGGCTGGGCCTAGCCTGGGGACTCGGGCATCTGGATCAGACCCGGACCCCCTCCCCCACGGCCCAAGGGCGCCCCTCGCCGCCCCCTCCCCCACCGCCCCGCTCGCCGCGGCCCCCGCCCGCGGCCCCTGCACTCACCAGGCAGAAGAGGTTACAGTGACAATCTTCCAGGCTGGCCCCGTTCGGCACGAAGGAGGAACTCATCGTCCCTCACAGCAGCCGCCGCCGGCGCCACAACCCACCATCCGCCATTACCGCCGCCTCCGACCAGAGAGAGAAACACAGACACCGGGGAGGGCGGGGGGGTGGTGGTTGGGGGAGCGGTGGAAAAGGAGGCCGCCGGGCCGCCCGCCCTCCCCAGCCACCCCCCCCGCCGCCGCGAGCAGCCCCCGCCGCCCGGCCGGCACCCAGCCGCCCGGGGCCCAGGGCCGGCGGGAGGGCCGCGCCGCGCTTGCCCCGCGGGCCGGACTGCGGCCGCCGCGGAGCCCGCGGACGCTCGTCCCTCTCTGGGGGACAGAGGAGATAGGTGCTCCTTCCACAAGAAAAAATAATAAATTAACACAATAAATAATTAAAATGGAGTCCGAAAGGGCAGAGCCCAAGCCCTGTAGGGTTCTCCGGGCGGAGAGGCGCCCGTAGAGGGGCAGGAAGGGCAAGAACCGGGAGGGAAGCCCAGGCCCCCGGCCCGGCAGCGGCGATGTCCTTAAGCCCAGAATCTCCTCAGTGGCGGAGGTGGTGGCGGCGTCTGCGGGCTCAGACCATTCTCTGGCTGTGTCTTCGTGTCGTCCCTGGGCCAAGCCGGCCTAACGTCTGCTCTACTGCGGCCTCACCGCCCGGACGCCGTAGTCACCCCCATTTTGTGGGCCCAGCGGGCGGTGTTTTTCCCCCTTTAATCCGAATTCACGGGTTTTCCCTTCGCTTTAATGGCGGCCACAGGGACCAGCTCGCCCTCTCTGCTCGCCCATTGGCCGCCTTGAGGTCACGTGGGCCCGGGCTCCGTGGGGAGGAGGAGAGAGAAGGGAGTGAGAGAGGGCCGGGAAGCTTTCGGCGGAGGCGGTGCGCCCTGGGGACCGGACAGCCAGCTGGCGGCTACTAAGATAGCGCCATCTGCTGGGTACCCCAGCCAGTGTAAGATGACCCCGGCTGCGGCCCTATCTTTCTCCTTGCCGGGAATTTACGGTGCAGGAGGGTTCACATCACAAATCTGAGAATTAAGTGGAAATTAGTTTGATTTCGTCGGAAGAGAAAGTGTTGCAAAAATTCCCAGGCATTCTCACTCGCAAACCCCTGAGCTTGGGAGTCAGAAGACCTGAGATAGAACTTGAACACTTAGAAGTTGTGAGATTAAGAAAGAAATGCATGAGAAACAATATAGCCTTATGGTTAATAGCCTAGGAGTTAGAGCCACACTTGCTTGGGTTCAAACCTTGAGTCAGTCAGTTGTGTCTCAGTTTTCCTCATTTGTAAAATGGGGAAAACATACATACGGGTGTTGTGATACCTGAGTTAATACAAATAAAACACATAGCCCAGTGCCTGGCACGGATATGCATTGCTAAGAGTTATCTATTATTGTTGTCATCGTTACCTCATAAGATTATTGTGAGGAATTGAACCAGTCAGTGTATGTAAAGTGCCACTAGTGTAATCTCCGTGAGAACCAGAACTTTGTTTTGCTTACCACTTAGTGCTTAAAAAAAGGTTCCTAGCACACAGTAGGTGCTTGGTATTTGTAAATTTGCAAATGAATGGTAAGAAGTGGGAACCAAGTAAAATGTTACTTCCCTTTCCTATAAAACACTCCGTTCTTTACTAGGTTACACTTCAGTATATGAGTTCAAACATTTTCCCTGAGAGTTTTGGAGAGAGAGACCATGGGAAAGGAAGGAAGAAGGAAGGAAGGGAGGGAGGGAGAAGTAAAGGTGATTTAAAAGTTAGAAACATTAGTGAGTTAGGATTTACCATAATTTGACATCATAGTTGCCTTTGTAATATAAATGATGGACTGTTCCACATCACTTCTTTTTAAAAATTTTATTTATTTTATTATTTTTGTTTTTTTTCTTAGATTTTATTTATTAATTTGACAGAGAGAGAAAGCACGAGCAGGGGGAGCAGGAGAGGGAGAAGCAGGTTCCCTGCTGAGGAGGGAGCCCAATGCGGGACTTGATTCCAGGACCCTGGGATCATGACCTGAGCTGAAGGCAGACGCTTAACCATCTGAGCCACCCAGGAACCCCCAGGTCACTTCTTCAGCCATGGAACGAAAAGCATTCCTCATCCACCCATTCGTTCATCTATGATGATTAAGAGCCCAAATCTTGAAGCCAAAGCCTGTAGAAAAAGTTCTGCCATTCGTTTCAAAGTAAAATTTAGTCCAAAATGAAATTAATTTCTCTCACTTTCAGTTTTCTTATTGTAAAATGAGGATACTAAAAGTACTTTTCTCCTAAAGTGTCTGGTGAATGAAACAGTGTAGGTATAGGGCTTGCCACAGTGCTTACTAAATGTTAGCTATTAAAATACTTTTAAAGGGGTGCCTGGGTGGCTCAGTCGTTAAGCGTCTGCCTTCGGCTCAGGTCATGATTCCAGGGTCCTGGGATAGAGCCCCGCATCCGGCTCCCTGCTCTGCGGGAAGCCTGCTTCTCCCTCTCCCACTCCCTCTGCTTGTGTTCCCTCTCTCGCTGTGTCTCTCTCTGCCAAATAAATAAATAAAATCTTTTTTTAAAAAAAATAACTAAAATAAAATAAAATACTTTTAGAGATCATTATTGAGCACTTTCGTGCTCAACTGAGTGTTTTCCTGGTCTTTGCTAGGCCTGGGATACAAATATGAATAAGATACCTGTCTGTCCCTCAGGATTCCTGAAGAGAGGCAATAAAGGAAACATTTCCCACAGAATAAGATAAAATACAAAGGAGGTAATTGCTTGAATAAGGTATGTATCAACTATGGCACAATAGGAGCTCTGGAGGAGGAGCACCAAAGTCAGAGAAGGCGTTTTAAAGTAGGTAGCATTTGAAATCAGATTTGAAGTATAAAATGAATTCTTATAAAGCCCTTTGAAGCAGTTAAATCTTATTAAGCCCAATTCAGATCCAAAGGCCACATATCAAAGTCAATTATACAACCAAGACTAATTTAATCCAGGAGCTAAAATCAGTTGAAGTCCATATCCTTTCTAACTGAGTGCCAGCACCAGGAGACAGCAATTCCTAGACCCCATAAGGTAAGAACCCCCTCTCATCTCTCTTTCCCTGGTAGAATCCTCAGACCTTTGTCTCCACTGCTTCTGTCACTCTGAAATGTTCTCCCCCACCTTTTATTTTATCTAAATCATAGCCGTCCTCTTTAGAAGTCTTGCCCTCCATTGCTCAGTCCCCAACTTGAGCACCTTCCTCACAACTCCAGAGGCAGGTGTAATCTCCCAGAAACCTACCAGGTGCAAAGTAACATTTAATTGACCCTTCATTTGAATATCAGTCTTCTCAAAAAGAAGAGAGAGAGAGGAGATAAGGGAAGAAAACCCAGGGGAAAACACCTCAAGAGAGGATCCTGAAAGAAGCAAGACAGAAAGAGAGGGGTGAAAAAGCAGAAGAGAGAAATTGAGAGAGAGAGAGAGACAGAATGGAGAAGCAAGTGGAGGAAAAGGACACCAAATGTGGGAGGAATGGAGACATCATGGGAAGAAGAGAAAAGATCAATATCAGCACTCAGAGAACATGTCAGTAACCACCTATCTTCTCTTAAAATACTATTTTGTGCAATTTTAAAAGTAATGGAAATAAATTAAAACAGTATACACACATCATCAAAAAAGATACAGAAAAGTATCTTGTTTGGAAGATGCAGTAAAGTAAAAAGATGAAAAACATGTAAATGTACATTATTTTAAAAATGTAAAAAATGTCCATAATGTCACCATTCATAATCAACCATCTTTTAACATTCTGATGTTTTTCTTTCCAGACTTTTCCATTTATATATATATATATATATATATATATATATATATATATATATATCCTACACGGTTGAAGTTATACATTTTACTACACATACTCACTATCTAGTGTGTCAGGTCATATATAGACAAGGCATAGGATATACAAGGAGCACATAATCTTGCTACATATTTCAATTGGATAGTTGGACCAACTGGGATCAAAACTCCACACCACTGCCTGCTAACTCCCTAACTTCCAATTACTCATTAGTAAAATATGTATGCAACAATAGCACCTAAATGTTAGCGTTGTTGTGGCAATTAAAAGAAATAATCTAAAATAGGAGAGCCAATCAGGAACGTTAAGGTGAATGTTAGACGTCGCCTTGGATAATCACCTATTGTCTTTGACTCTCTGAAACATGCATTTGCTCAGTGATCTACATTTAAAATTGTTCTTTAACTCCTCCACCCTTTTAAGGACTCCATTCTTTTTTTTTTTTTTTTTTTTTTTTTTTTAATAATTTCATTTATTTTTTATTTTTTTTTAAGATTTTATTTATTTGAGAGAGAGAGAATGAGAGACAGAGAGCATGAGAGGGAGGAGGGTCAGAGGGAGAAGCAGACTCCCCGCCGAGCAGGGAGCCCGATGCGGGACTCGATCCCGGGACTCCAGGATCACAACCTGAGCCGAAGGCAGTCGCTTAACCAACTGAGCCACCCAGGCGCCCTAAGGACTCCATTCTGAATGGGACAGTGGATGTACCTGGCCTCCAGGAAGGGTGACAGTTACATCGTCTAAGCAGAGAAAGTCCAGGAAAGGGCAATGTCTGACCTTGGGACTAATGTTCCCCACCTGTTCTGAAAAATCCCAGGGTCTAGAGCAGAGGTATCCAGTGGGAATATAATGTTAGCTAAAGAAGTAATTAAAGGGGTTCCTGAGTGGCTCAGTTGGTTAAGCATCTGTCTTTGGCTCGGGTCATGATCCTGGGGTCGGGCTCCCTGCTCAGCAGAGAGCCTGCTTCTCTTTCCCTCTGCCGCTCCCCCTGCTTGTGCTCTCTCACTCTCTCTCTGTCAAATAAATAAATAAAATCTTGAAAAAAAAAATAAATGAATTCTTTGACAGTTAAAGTAATTAAAAATTTTTGGTAGCTACATTAAAAAAGATAAATAGGTGAAATTAATTTTAATTATATATTTATCCCAATATAACAAAAATATTATGATTTCACATGTAATCAATATAAAAAATTATTGAGATAGGGATGCCTGAGTGGCTCAGTCAGCTAAGCATCCGACTCTTGGTTTTGGCTCAGGTCATAATCTCGGGGCCTGGGATCAAGCCCCTCGTCGTCGGGCTCCATGCTCAGCACAGGGTCTCCTTAGGATTCTCTCTCTCCCTCTCCCTGTGCCCCCCCCCCACTCACACACACTTGCTCTCTCATTCTCTCTCTCTCAAATAAATAAATCTTTTAAAAAAATTATTGAGATACTTTGCCTTTTTTTTTAACCAAACCTTTCAAAATCCGTGTGTGTATTTTCACTTACAGAACATTTCATTTCAGATAAGCCATATTTCAAGTGCCCAATAGCAACACGTGGTCAGTGGCTACTGTGTTGGATAATACACGTCTACAAGAGCTGCAAGTTAAGGACCAATTAAGCTGTGGAGTGAGTGGTCTTGAGCCTGGGGACAATATTGATTTTCTTAAGGTCATGTTAATGGTTTAATGTTGTACTTAATTCAATTTTTTTAAAAAGGCTGAGTGAATGCACAGACACTACTTTGTTGAATATAGAAATAAACAAAGTAAATTAGCAAGTTGAGCCAATTAAGAAAACATTTCAGTTCTAAGTGTCAAATATCCTGACAGTTAAAGTAAAAAAGTTGGCCTGACTAGCCATTTTTCTTAGTGGTGTAACATCTACTCTCAAACTCAAGTTTCTCAATAAATATTTTATTCTAATATTAAATTTGAAATCAATTCCCCCTAATTTCCTCGCTTTGAAATTTGGTTTGTAAACCCTCATAAGCAAATCAGATATCCCCTTCGTCCT